TTACAAAACGGTTTTTCTCAGATCGTGAGTCTGCCTTTGTGTTGTTATTTGTTTTTAGATCTCTGATAGCCAACATTTCATTCAGCGAACATTCAATTTTGCAGCTCCTCGGGATGGTAAATTTGTCGTCGAGATTCCCAAACTCCATATTGTGTTCCCACGTGAAGAAATTTCCGATAGTTGAGTTCTGATATTCAGAAACGCGTCGATACAGGTGTAAGTATGTAAAGCCGACACAACTTGCATGGCAAAAGCCTCATTTGAATAAATAAACAACGCCTTGTATTTCGAATACAATATATATCCACAAGTTTTGTTTATACGATCACACTTTTAAATAATTCTTTTGTTCCTAGGGATAATTTTGGCTGAATAAACAAAATTAGCAATTTTCGATTACGATGGCCAACAATAAACACATTTCACTGTCTAATAGTCCCTTCTTCTGAGTGACCGCGGAAAAGTGCAGTGTACTAAGCGGATCGAACAGACTGTAAAGTTTTCTGTTGAGTAGAGAGGGACTTAGTAGGTTTCGCCATTGCTACCGAATCCATGATTGTTTTTACTGATATAGGACACAAATGAAAACTTCGACCAATATAACAAAATCTGGGATAATTTTATTTACTTGGAGTAACATGCTAGAAGTTTTACTCTTTTCTCATTTTGTAAGGTCACAATGTACTGAAAGAGATAGTCCAAAGTTTTTCGCAGTAGAAGATGGACCATTTAGTTCGTGTTTGACTGTATTTGTTGTATGATTGGAACGACTCAGTTCAACTCAAAGCGCATTTAATTACAAGTAGACACAAGTCAATATCCGTTAAATATGAAAATGAAAACATTAGTATCAAGAAATTCATTTTTATGCAAACTCTTTTCCAGAATTTCAAGTAAGGAGTACCTTAGTTAAAAAAAAAAATTATGTCCAGTATGTGGGGTTCATCATCTGATTTTAAAAGCTACTTATTAAAGCTTAAGTTTTGTACAAAAGCTTTCAAGATCTTTGGTGGAACTTTGCCAAACTACATTGAATCAAGTATCTGAGAAAATAAATAAATGTAAAGAGAACGTTACCTTCTCTGCAATGACAGTTTCATGTTGAAGGATCAAACCTTTCTTTTGAAGGCGTCTTTCAAAAGATCTCCGTGATTGTGCCAGAGCCTCTGCCTCCTTCTTGGATTCTTCGTCCTTTTCATCTTTCTCTTTGCAAGTCTCGTACACCAGAACATAGTCGGTACGTCTTTCGTGATCCCTGTTGCTTGTGGATGATTCATCAGCTGGAGATTCTGCTAATGGCGAAATGCTGACCTCCAGTTCAACGCCTTGGATGGATCCGTCGGTTTGACTTAACTCAGAATACGATCCTCTGTCCATTATTGGATCCTTTCGCTTTCTGAGTAGCCGCGATAACATAGACAGAAACTTTAAATCAAGAAGTCCTAGCCTTTGATGATATGCAACTATGTGCTTCTATTGTCAAGATTAAGTTCCTCTTAACCCACACAAACTTAGAATGAGGCGTGAATCGTCAGTCGGCTCTTCTGATAGGAATTGGTATTCTTCTGGAACAAACAAGACGCTTTGTAGCAGACATTACATGAAATAATTAAAATGCCAGTAAATTATATAAATATTGATGAGAACAGCCCCCGAAAAACGGTAACAATCCAAAATTTTTGCTAGGAATGTCCACCAGATCTAGAACGCTCACATCAAGTTTTGGTGATGATTTTTCAATTCTTTGGCTAATAAACATATATACACTCATTTGCAATTAGCACTTCAGCTGTACAAACAACACCTTTTTGCGAATATTCACGCAGATTTTAAAAAGCACACCAATATAGCTGAGAAACGTTGTCTGAGAGATTTAAAGCTTTTCGCAAAAAGCTATTGATAGTTCCTGCTGACATTATCTGGAGCAGCTTAAAATCCTTAATCAGTGGTACATACACAAACGGTGTTTTTCAATTGATTATCCTCGAATTTACCACAAATTTATTTTGATAATTTCGATATTTGGGTGATATTGGACAAAAATTCCTACTCGTTTTTCATAACCAAGGCATTACTTGCGAAACGCTTTTGTTCTTAGTAGCCGAGCGTTTTTTGCTGAAAGCGTAATGTTGCCTTGGTGACTGTGTCCACGAGGCTCCCATTGAAAGTTTACTTGTCTATTTATCCGACGGAATAAAACTTTGATGATCATTGCTGTCCCGAGTTCACATCTTAGATGTTCCAGGATTTCTTTTCTTTGGAATTTTGCAGTTGGCAAGACACTTCAAATGAAGAAGTAAACATAACATCTGATAGGGACGTACGATATAGGCTCTGGCGGGATTGAGTCATGCTAATCACAAAAAAACCCCAGGGGCAGAAGTTTTTCTTTGTCTAGCAGGTCACAGTTCAAAAATAAGATTTGTAGAAAAACACGGTTTTTCCCGGCGCAATTAAATGTGAAGAGTATTCATTATAACTTGATCGTTCTTAGTGAGGCGTGAGATTCTAGTCACGACATTTTCTCTACC